AACTCCATGTTCCTTGTTACCATTGATAGACTCCTCCCTCTAATGAACTAGAGCTTCCTAGAGTTGAATTTGAAACAAGAGGACTGGAGAGTAGTTGGGAAGACTAGAGAGCACCTTTCTATGCTTACTATCGGAATTCTTGCCACCGCCGGTGGATCTCACGTTAATGGATGCCGGCGTGTATAGTGAGATGGCTGGTGGGATGCTTCTTTGAGTTAGGGCTCGGAGGAGAGGGATTTCGAATGAAATCTCTTTTAAGGTTTTTTGTCCTTTTGCGTCCGATTCAATTGGGTTTCTTTTGAATGTCCGTTTGTATTATTATAGTTTCGAAATGCTGATATGGTCATTTGTGATTGACGGGTTCACGCTTCTTGGTTCAGGATGCGAATTCCTAAATTGGAGGGGGTGCCAAGAGTCCATCTCAGCTGAGCTGGGTGATCCACGCGTTATACTTGTAGAATAATGATGTAGAAAAACCTTCATTACAAATACTATTGTTTAAGTGAAAGTGTTATAAAAAAATTATCCCGTGCCTCTAAATTAAGGGTGCAAGTGTGGCAGGTCGGATTGGGTTTATGGTCAATCCGATCGATACTAAAATTCGGGCTTAAGGCCTGAACTTGGACCAAAATTGGGGTCAAGTCTAATTTTCTTATTCTAAAATTATATATATAAGTCAGGCCCGGGCTACTTAAGGACCAGATTTGAGCCCGGCTTGAAAAATAAGAAAACCTAAATCTTGAAACTTAAACCCAATCCGATCCGATGATCAAAAAATCCAAACCCAATCTATATAAAATTTTGTACCGAATAAATTCAAATTTGAGTTAGACCTGCCCAAATTGTACCCCTACTCTAAATTGGAGGGGAGTGTCAAGAGTCCATCTCGACTGAGTCATCGACGCCTTAGTATACTTTTTTGTAGAATGATGTAGAAAAGCCCTCTATACAAAATTAATTCCATTTTAAAGAATAAAATAAAGAGAAACTATGGATGAATGAAAAAGGCTGATTTGTGAATTAATAAACATCACACAACATCGATCACCTCACACCACCTCCCACCCCGAAAGCAAACCATGTAAAAATCAGGATTCTGTTAGCGTGTGGTTTAATTAGCTACGTCGACGCAGTCAAATTGGGGAACATGAGTGATGTGGCGTGATTTAATTGGCGCAGTGTACGTTATTCTAGATATTCAAAGACCTAGAATTAATCTATCACAGGTCTAATAGTGTTGGTTTTGTTTCGATTGGTGGAATCGTGGGAGAGAGATCATGTCAAAATTTAATGAAAATAAGTTAAATAACGAATTGATGATAACTGAGAGTTGGTAGGATCTCGGATTCCTTGTTTCGTTAAAGAAAATGAAACTCCCCGTGCACATTAAATGTAATATAATGATTTTGATTGAGAGGAGAACTGGAGAACATTACGGCCCATTACTGGCTAGCACCAGTAGGCAGTGGCTTAACCATCTGGTTCAAACAGGTTAATCCATAATTCTATAATCAAATAATAAAAATACAAAAAATTGTAGAAAAATGAGGTTTTCTAATATTATTATATTATTATATTCATCATATTAATAAATAAAAATAAGTGTGATAAATAAATACTACTTTTATTTTATTAAAGATGCATGGTATTCGATCTAGTGGTAAAACGAACTTGGAATTCTGTCCAAGTTTATGGGTCAACCAGTCCTACCATCTAGATTAATTAACACGAATTGAAAACACTAATTAAGATACATAAAACATGAATACATGGTATGATAATAATAACCAAAAAGAATGGTGTGATAATAAAAACAATTAGATCTAGTATTTTTCCTTATGCAAGAGAAAATTAGGTATTATATATGTTAAAATTTTGTTTATCATAAGAGAGGGAGACCCGCTTCATCGTCCTAGCAGTAGTATATTTTGAATGTAAGCTATTATAATTTAATGTTTGGAATCTTTTCGACAATCCACAATCGAAATATATATATACATACATGTTACATGGTCAACACCTCAATGACTCGTAAAATATTCTATCTTCTACTAGCTAGTTTCTGACTTCATCTCAACGGTTAGGTGAAGGTTCCTCTCGGCCGTCTGCCGTCTTCATAAGTATGCCTTTTGAAGAATTAATAAAGGAAGATTATTTAAACTTCTCCAATACTTCTTCAAATTGGATGAAACCTTTCTCTATCACAGAATCTTTGTATAAATACATACAAAAAACGTATTAAGAACGATAAAACAATTATCATTAATGTTTAGTTTGGATAGAATGCAAATACAAGGTTTAGAACAATGTTTTGCACTGAAGGTATTTGTAATTGAATTCTTACCTCCAAATAAGTCACGTTGGGAAAAACCTAAGGCGATGGTTAGGCAGGATCTCGGATGGTGGTCCAAGCAGAATGCCAAAATAGCTTAGTTTGAACCACCTCAGACTGGCCATCAAAGGTGGTGGTTTTTTCTATCTGAACTGGCGGTCTTGATCTAGGCTAGCAGTTGAAATTTAAGGTGGTGGTCATGCAACTGCCACTTTAGACTGTTTTTCTTGTAGTGAATCTGTATTTCAAAGATATCCTTATTTCCTAAAAATTAGTTCACCTTGTTACAAACACTATATAGGGATTTAGCATATTGATGCCGTTTCTTTAGAGATGTTTTTAAGAAAACGGTGTTGCATGTATGAGGATCTGTTGCACCATTTTCTTAGAAAATGGCTCCTTATTTTTTTGTTTGGCATCAATGCTACTACATAAGCTGTTAACATCACTAGTTTTGTTTGGTATTAATTCTGTATATATAACAATTTTTAGCATTGGTCCACATTATCCAACGTAATAACGGACTGTTTTTTATTAAATTTGACATTCTTCAAATCACATTTTCCCAATTTCCAAGATATAATTTGGAGCAACGTTATTTTTAGAAAAATAGTATCAAATAAGAGAACGTTTTCTGAAACACCGCTTTTTTCTGATGTGACGCCTATGTGGTGCCGTTTTGTCAGAAAACTGCATCTATGCCAAACACCCACCTATAGCTAACTCGCAAGAGATTTTATTCGCAAAGTGTTGCCATCAGGCTTGGCCCGAATCAGATGGTAGTGCTGTTAGAACCCAAAACAAGCAGCCACAATGGATTTATGTTCGCCTGATTTATAGAAATGTTGACGTGGTCACACTTAATTACCAGTTAATATGTGTTATTTCTTTTAATATTTATTATTGTAAGCTTTTTTATTTAAAATGGCTTTAAAAGTTTAGAATCGTTTTGATCTTTAATTTTTTTAATATTTTATATTTTTATTTTAACAAGTCAAAGAGTAGAACTAGATGATCAAACCATTCAACTCATGATCAAGCCATCAAATTGGTTCTCTAGAATCGATTTGACAATATTCTATTTACCAACCAACAAAAAGAAATTAAACCTTAATTGGAAGAGGATAGGAGAGGTGATATTTACCATTTAACTCTCCCAGGTAAGATAGAAAGGACGTTTTGGTGTCAATAACAACTAGGTCCTCTTCAATGCGAATTGTTTCTCTTATTGCCGCTTCTAAAAACAAAACAAAATCTGTTGGTTTGAAAACAAATTGATTCTTGAAACAAAATGTTGTTGGTTATATTTGTGTTTTTGTTTCCAAAATTGAAACAAAAAACATGCATATTCTTTAATTTTTTTGGTTTAAAGAACATGTATTATTCGTCTGATTATTGAACATCCTATCATACACTGTAATATTTGTTTGTTCTGAAGCCAATATTTTGAAAACAAATGAAAAAAAAAAAAAACATTTAGGCCCAGCTAAATCTCCAATGGCAGGGTACTTTTGGGTTTATGAAAACATGTAAAAATCATGTGCATGAAAAAAACTTATTAACTCATATATACCCAAAGGAAGAAGTTTCGGTGCATTTGAGGGGGAAAAAGGGAACTATATGTAATTTACTCAATTAAAAGCAATATAGAACTATTCAAGCGCTGACTAATAGCTCATTGGAAAAGGTGGCATAGAGGAAATCAGGACGTGGACTGCAGAAATGGACACATAGCCATTAGCCAGCTATTAGCCAATATTAAGTTTCAACTCCAGAGAGGAAGACAGTTTAAATGTCATCTTCAAGCCAAAAGGGATAGCTAGTTGTTTCTCACTTTAGTAATTGAGGGATTTTTTAATTGATTGCTTGGGCTCACCTCAGCTGATTAATACATATTAGTTCGATAACGATCTAGTCCTATATATTTTGATAAGCTTGTACAAGAAGTCAATTAATTCCATATTGAAGTACTCCATTCTTACCTTATTTTTGCTTTGTCGAACTGGTCAGATTTGCCACGCGGCGTTGAGTTTGAACACGTCAGCTCCCTTCCTAGTGCTGAAACAAGGGAATTTTGCTGCAAACCAGTGGCGATGTTTGAGTATATATACCCCATCACCAACCAAACTTGTTAACATATCCTTCTCCGATCTCCTCCTAGCTAGCTAGCTAGCAATATTACTCTCTCTTTCTCAAAGGTATGATAATCTTCCATTCTAATAGTTTCTTCTATTGTCCCTAGACCCTTAACTTATGGAAGTAGGTATATAACATGTTTAGGTTCAAATTAGTTGTGTTTAGTTTAGCTAGGCATTGTTTTTGTACAAGATAGCTAGGGTGACAAGTCGATCAGCTTACGTGGACCGCATGTGCCACTCTTGTTATGCCATTTGGCAAAACAAGTACACCTTTTGTGGTGTTTGAGGATGCTGCATGTGTAGTTAAAAAACCTAGGGTACCCTAAAAGACTATTACTCACTTTTTCTTGAAAGTTGAAACTTGAAACTTAGATGGCTGCAGCTTAAACCAAGACCGGAATAGCTGCTGTTTTATTGGCTGTGGGCCCACACCCAACAGTTCAACTAAATTAAACCATTGTTGCTTGCATTGTCAATTGATTTACTGATGATCATTCATTACATTCTTAATTAATTTCAGGTGAAAATTAATGAAGATGCAGACCCATAAGTTTCTGTTAATTCTGATGATGCTAATCATCACCATGATCTTTTCTCAAGCCAATGCCCGAACCCATGTGACTGAATCAATCCTGCATCAAGTGGCTGCTTCCCTGGAAATGTTCGTCGATGAACTCCCACGAATGCCCACCGTCTATGGTTTCAGTTATGACCACCACGGGTCGCCAACTCCTGCACATCCCACCATAGGCATGTTTCAGAAGAAATGGGTATGATATTCAGATCCGGTCTGACCCGGTTCATCTTAACTAGGCCGGTAACATGGTCTGGCTGCTGTAGCATGACTCGGGTCTACCTTTAATTTGGTCTATCTTCATTCATGGACAGTACGTCCGGTTTAACTAACTTTATTTATCTACTCCTGCCGTGCAGAAATTCCACCGTGATTTGCCTGCAACAAGAGTGTTCGCGTACGGGACATCTCGGGAGGCCGCCACCGTACCTGGCCCCACAATTGAAGCCATCCAAGGAGTACCAACTTATGTGACGTGGGAAAATCACCTCCCTAAAAAGCACATACTCCCATGGGATCCAACCGTTCCCACTGCCATTCCCAAGACGGGTGGAGTCCCAACAGTCGTCCATCTCCATGGTGGGGTCCAGGATCCACCCAACGATGGATATGCTTTCGCCTGGTTCACTGCCAATTTCAAAGAAACCGGACCCTTTTGGACCAAACCCACCTACTTCTACCCGAACGTCCAACATGCAGGAAATCTCTGGTACCACGATCATGCACTGGGAATGACCCGGGCCAACCTCCTTGCTGGCCTGATCGCTGCCTACGTCATTCGTGACCCTAAATTAGAAGCCACCCTGAACCTCCCGGCCGGGCCGGAGTTCGACCGGCACTTGTTCATCTTTGATCGGAGTTTTTGCAAGGACGGGTCTCTTTACATGAACTCCACCGGCAACTACCCATCCATCCACCCTCAGTGGCAGCCGGAATATTTCGGGGATGCCATGATAGTCAACGGTAAGGCCTGGCCGTATCTTAAGGTTCAGCGCCGGAAATACCGGTTCAGGATCATCAACGCCTCCAATGCGAGGTATCTCCGGTTACATTTGAGCAATGGCCTCACGTTTGTCAACGTGGGGGCCGACAAGTCCTACCTCCCTTCTCCTGTCCCAACAAAAAACATACTCTTATCACCTTCGGAGATTGCTGATGTGATCGTCGACTTCTCGACTTCTAAAGCTGATGAGGCCGTGTTGATCAACGATGCCCGGTACCCGTACCCGGATGGTTCACTGGCGGATCCACTTAACCGTAAAGTCATGAAGTTTATTATTGCATCCGGGAAGCCCAAACAACCGGACAGATCAAGTATTCCGGCTAGTCTAGTGAAGTACCCGATAGCAACAACAGTAGGCGCAGCGAAGACAAGGTATATTACAATGTACGAGTACCTGAGCCCTTCTGGAGAACCCACGCAACTCCTTATAAACGGTAAAACACCGGAAGATCCAGCGACGGAGACGCCAAAATCCGGCAGCACTGAGGTGTGGGAGGTGATAAACTTGACCAATGACAGTCACCCATTGCACCTTCACTTGGCTTCCATTCAGGCAATCAAGGTGCAGAAGCTTGTGAAGTTGGATGAATTCAAGGATTGCATGAGAGCCAAGAATGATGCACTTAAGTGCAACGTGAAGGCTCATGCAACCGGAAAAGTGTTCAAGATACCGGATTATGAGAAAACATGGAAGTTCACGGTGAAGATAGAGCCGGGATGCCAAACGACGATCATCGCCAAATTTTATCTAGTCCACACTGGTGAGCCTTACCCGTTCGATGCAACTACAGAACCTGGATACCTCTACCATTGTCATGTAAGCTTCAAATGCGCTGTATATTCATATAGCTAGCAGCTGGTTCAAGCTATTTAGAAGGGTTCGATATATACTAACCATTTTCCTCTTTTCTCTTTTCTTTTCTGCAGATTCTGGACCATGAAGACAACGTCATGGTACGACCGCTGAAGCTGATTAAATGAAGAAAGATTTCATATTGAATAAGGAAACGTCTGCTCGCATATTTGTCGTTAACTTAATTCAGTTAAAACTGGATTAAGTATCAAATCTTGTTTAATATATTCAATATATGCAATTTAATTCTATCAAATTGTTGTATCAATAATTTAAAATGATCTGTTAAATAACACAGATCAAGTTTTAAAGCTATTAATTCTTGAAACCCAGGAGTTATCTTGTCCTCTCTCTCTCTCTCTATAGATATATCGATCAATCTTTGTATACTTCTTTATTATTTTTGAAAGACGGTGTGCGTTGACGAGGAATAATTAATGGATGATCATAGGATAATTTGAACTATGAATAAAGAAATTAACAAGCAATTGTTATTTGAGGCTATTCCTACCTGAAATGTTTTCGGTTGATCAATATAAATTGCTATACAATTGTTATTTGAATTTTGAAGCTATATATTTATGGTTAAAATATCTATACGATTGTTATTTGAGGTTATTTGAGGCTATTTATCTATCTCTCTCGTCAATTTGTATTTATCAACCCAAAACAAAACATTTCAAGTAAAAACATCAATTGTACCAAATACCGTTGATGTATCACTTCTATAGTCTCTCTTTCTCACATTGAGAAGTTTATATAATTTGATTTAATTATTTATTCTAAAATTAAAAAAAAATGTAAACATGATCAGGGTTTTTAATGTGTCAAATCTGATCAGAGACCTGCTCTCAACAAAAAACTCTTGATTTGTATCTACACATCTCATCATGAAACTGGGACAGACCATATTCCATGTATGCAATAAGGTTTATATTCATATTCAATTCATTTTGGTTATCCTAAATCATATTTGGTCCTATTAATCAATACCAACCTTACCTATTTTAGTTGCTAGTTCATAGAAAATTAATAATAAGCAAGTAAATCAAGTGAAGATATAAAGTACTAACAGAAGAAAACGTTGGAACTTTTGTTAGTATTGCACTCACAAGGTTTTGAAATATACAAAATATCATACTCTATATAAAGACATCTATCGGTATGTTTTATATGGAGGAAAGATCGAGGGAGGTGAAGGGCTAGCCCTCTCACCTCAATGCTCTCACATGGGGCTTCTCCCTTATATATATGTTGTATATTTATTATTAAACTGAAAGTATAATAACCAAAATAACAAATGAATTCTCTTAAATCTTATTCTCTTTACAATGGCTTTCTTTAATAAAATCCTTCTCAACCTTCTCTACAATCAACCTTTGCCAGCTTTACTGATGCACCATTGAGATATGGGATTTGCTTTTGACAGGTATTTAAAATCTCCTTGTGAATCTCCCACCGATTCAGTTGACCTCAAACCAACTTCCAGAGCCAATTGTAAAGCCTCTAAACTTCAGCTTCCTCCACCTAACATTGTTTCGTTTCAATTTTTAAAACAAAAACAACTGCCACATCAAAAGAAAAACCGACCATGTTTGTCTAAAACCCCCCTAAAGAGCCATATCTTTAAAGTATAAACCATTGAAGTAGTTCATGTTTTTCTAATTGTAATATTATATATACTAAAACAATCAATTCAAACAAATAATATTACTGTAAGGCCCCATTCACTTTTTGGTTCGTTACTTACCCAGGTAAATGCAATTACCTGGGTAAGTTTTTCTTGGGAAACATTTACCCGGGTATGTGCATTTACCCATGTTCTTTTATTTCTCAGGTAAATAAGGTAATGACCATTTTAGTCATAAAAATCCATTATTAAAAGGGACATTTTTGTCCCATTCAAGTGTTAGCAACTTTCCTCCTAGGTGGGAAAGTTATTTACCCACCTAGGAGATGGGTATCACTTACCTGATACCCAGAAAAATAAGCTTTCCCTGGTCCCCACTTTAATCTGAAAAATGAACATGGGATTCTTGGTCAATGGGAACCAAAATCCATAAAAAGAATGACCCTAACAGTAATCTTTATTATATATAGAAAATGATTGGGTCCGTTCATCAAGTTTGGCCCATGATATCATAAATGAAATAATACAATATGAAAATTAATAAAGTCTAAAAATACAAATATATCAGCCATTTGTTTGATATCATATATTCAATATTAAACAAAAATAAGTGTGTTAAATGAGAATTATTATTATTAATGATGGAAACGGCTAAAAATACAAAAAAAAAAAAAGATTTACGATCCAACTTGTGACCCAGCCCACTAACTGGGTCAAGTTCAATGGTACAACCATATGGATCACTAGGTCGTTTGTTGAGTCAATTTATTTTTGCAGGTAAATGCTTATAGTCTAAATAGACCCAAAAACCTAACTAGGTAATGAATTATCTAATCATACCTATCGGGTCAACAATGAGTTGATCAAATCCGAATCTAGATCCATATGGATGTATGCATATACGGGATAAAAGAATGGATTATGGATATACTCATCAAATCCGAATCTAGATCCAAGGCCTTGAGGTAAGAACTTTTCAGAATTGGATTTGCATTTTGTTGGATGCCACAACTCCTCAGCGGTCTTTATAACTCTTGTAAATTTTCAGAAATGGTCTTTATACCCCCAAAAAGAAAAAATAATATCACTGTGTTTTTTATAACTCGTTCAGAACCAATTCAATGCCATTTTTTATTAGGAAACTGAATTTAATCATATGGGTATCGTATAGGGCTATTTCAGAAACCTAGACCCACTAAATATGGATATAGTGTAGGGCTAGATCTTGGATCAACCCACTCGATTACATGCCCTACTTAAAGCACTCCACATTAATATATATGCACATATCTTGACCAGAATACAAATATGAGAAAGATGTTCTTTTATGATTTGATATACGACACTATGTACAGCAATAATCAAGAGTATACGTCCTCAAAATGTCTAGTACAATTATCTTAATTCTAGGGGGTGTTAATGAGTTGGATGGAATGGGCTTATAGCACCTAGTATAAAGAGCTTAAACTAGGCCTAGTAGGCCTAGCCTTGTTTGCACCCTAGGTCTGAATTATAGGTCCAGGCCTGGTCCAGGATTCCAAGTATTGGTAACACATGTAAACCTAAAAACAATGTTAGACAAGAGGGAAACAAGGATTTTTATGTGGACATGTCTGTTAAAGCTGATTTTTTTTTGGGGGGGGGGGGGGGGGGGGGAGAAACCAACCAGGGGAAGAGAGGAAGAGGTAGAGGGGTAGCAGAGGAAGACGGTTGGGTTAGTCGAAGTCTGTTCAAAGAGTTTGTCTTTTGGTTTTCAGGTCTGGTTGTTGAGGCAAGTCGGATTTTGTTTGACTGGGGGACTCATGCGTGGAAAGGTCTAGGTGTGAAGTGGGGCATGTCTCAGGTGACTCCGGATCTCCTGTCCACGTCTACTAATACATTACTCCTGTGAATTGGGAACATCTCCTCCTGTAGAAGGATGAGATATTCTTCATGTGTGATTGTAATATTATGTGGGTAGACGTGGGCAGGAGATCCGGACTTGTCTCAGGTATAAAGATCCAGTAGGTGTTCATAAAATTCTCATTTCCATCCCGGATCTATGTAGTATTTCTGTAATCTTTTCATCTTTTTTCCTTTTTAATAACTTTTTTTCAGCTTACTTATCAAAACAAGGAAGAGCCAAAGACTGTTCAGTTGGTCTCAATCAGTTGCTCCAATGTAGAAATAATATTTATTTTAAAAGAACAAAAGGATGAAATTATCCTTACAAGAGAAGATAAAATACATTGATGTACAATGTTGTATAATGTACACAACAATAATAGTATACAATTAGAGTCAAATAGACAAAATTACTCATCCTCTTTACACTCCCTCTCAAATTGTTATTGAGGAACAAGCATTAAGAAATATGTTTTTGGCCTGAGTTTTGGTGAATAGATCTTCAAGCTGCATGCCAAAAGAAACGTGGGGAAGAAAAATATGGCCAATAAGGAGAAGATCTCTCACGAAATGATTATCTACTTCTATATTGTTGATATGTTCATGAAAAATTGGTTTGGATGCTATCTTAATTGCACTCATATTGTCAGTAAAGAGAGGAATGGAAGAAGAATGACCAATGTCCATATCATGAAGTGGAGTTTTGAGCCAAAATATTTCACTAAAAATAGAGGGCATTGTTTCATACCCTATTTCACTAGATGATTTGGACATAATTTGTTACTTCTTACATTGATGGAATTGCCAAGGAAGCCATACCAACCAGTAATAGAGCAAGTGTGTCAGGAAAACTAGTCCAATTTGCATCAACACATGCTCCAAGTAGAGGAGGATGAGAAAAACAAACCATAAGAGATTATCCCCCTTACATATATAACAAATGGTCCTAAGAACAACAAAAACAATGGGTCAATGAGGAGCTGCAACAAATTGGCTAACAAGCCAAACAAGGCAAAAGATATCCAACCAAGTTATAGTTAAATAGATTAGACTACCAACAAGTTGCCGATGCAAAGTAGAATCCGGGAGCAAATCATCATCATCCTAATTTAAGATTGAGTGTTGACCAACTTAAAATCAGTAAGACAAGCCCATAGTGTCAAGGCAACAAGACGCCCTTGGAGTCTCGCCTCGCCTAATTACCAAGCAAATTTTTATAGCGTGTTATAACAAACTCTTATATTCTTAATTTTTTAAGGTTATAATTATAAAATAGACATTTTTAAACTAAAATACTCATTTTGTGTGTTTATATATTAATTTCTTTTTGCTAGTTTCTTATTTGTTAGGGTTTAATCAACACAAACATTGCTAAATGTTGTATTGAACCCTCAAAGACTTCAAAACCTGAACCAATAAGTAAGAAAGAACATAAAATGTTGTTCAATCAGCACATTTTCTTCTTTTGTTTTACTAATTTTGTGTTTTTGTATACTAATTTCTTCTTTTCCTATAACAGAAATACGGGTTCAACCCTTATATTTTTTGAATTTTATTTTCTTTCCTCTTTTTCTTCTCATGAATATGTTGGAATATGTTGATTTTCTTTACTTTAACATGAAGTTTATGCTTTTCTTGTGAAAAGTATGGATATTTATTAAGGAAATATGATTATGGAACCTAGGGAACTACCCTACGATACATGTTTTTACTTGAAAA